CTGGGGCCTGGCGGAGCCTGACGGGGCCGGGCTGTGGGGAGGCCGCAGGTGGGTGTCCGCGGCAGGGGCCTGGTCCCGTTCGCTGCCTGCCCTGGTAGGAGCCGCGGGGTTTGTTGCGGTGATGTTCGTTGCTTAAAGGGGTTTGTAACCCGTGTTTGCAGCGACACCCCGGGGGAACGTGGATGCGGGTTTTCTTCCCTTGAGAGATCTGGGGTGAGAAGACGCGGCGTGCAGGAGCCATGGGTTTGTCTGCGTCCTCCCCGCCTGCCGCGGGTCAGTCGGCGAGTGCATCCCGGCAGCAGCACACGGCGTCCGCGCCTTCAGAATGTCCCATGCACCAGGAGAAAATGAGTGGTAATTACTCGTGACGCTTAAATGAACTCTTAGGTGGGAGCAGTGCGTCCTGTGCTGGGCTCCTCGGTACAAGAGAGACAAGGAGCTGCTGGAGAGGGTCCAGTGGAGGCCACAGGGATGCTGAGGGGTCTGGAGCATCTCGCTTACAGGGAGAGATTGCAGGAGCTGGGCCTGTTTAAGTCTGGAGAAGAGCAGCCTGAGGGGGATTGAGCATTCAGGGGTTACAGAAGAAGCCGAGATCTTGCCATCCTAAAACACAGGAAAGAACGGTTTAAACTGTTGCAAAGCTCAGAAGAAAAGTTAAATACCAGTTTGGATTTACATGAGCGTTCAGTGAACTGGTTTCCACTTGCTTGTCACGTCTTAGAGTTTCCTTTGCAGCAAACTACATACTGTTTTTTCCTGTATTTCAGGTTGTCCAATGCACATGAAGGCTCCTGATCACAGAGCTGAGAACGCAGAAGATGTTCCTGCACATCAAGAAAGAGCATATGAATATGTGGCATGTCCAGTGACGTCTGGTGCATCTCAAATGAAAGATGACATAGATCCTAGCAATATGGTAACTTCTGCTTGTTTCAGCTCTTTTCTTTGTTTCTTCTGAAATACTCTCCCCAGACTGTACACAGTGATGATCCTGTCCAAGGTGGAAGCTTTGGTGAATGATGTTACTCTTTCAACACTGCTTTTTCTCATTTTGTGTGCAGATATTGGTATCAAACCTGGTTAGACCTTCGTTAACATCCTCTTCTTCAAATTACCATTGTTTTGCTAAAGGTGGTTTGTGAATACCTTTTGCTCTCTGTTTGTCTTTGTTAGTTACACGCATGGTTTTTATGCTACATCAGTGGGTTCTGTGTCACAGCAGTTTGGGTAAGCTCTTGTTCAGGTCTCTCCAAGACTTCCTTTGATTTACAAAAAGCACTACTCTTGAAAGTTGAGGGGTTCCTTTAAGTCTTCAGATGGTGAACTCATCCAAAGGGTTCTGCTGAAGAGAAGGACCGTTTTGGTAGACTTAAGTAAAGGCTGAACTTCTTAATCCTTTTAGCAGCTGATGAGTTATGCTTTTAATTCTGTTTTTCTTTTCAAACACCATAACATAAAAAAATGTTCACATTCTAGTTTGTTGTTGGTTCTCCTTGTTTTCCAGATGCCGCCTCCTAATCAGCAGCCATCCCCAGGTCAACCCTTTCCATTGTCAACGGTTAGAGAGGAATCTTCCATTCCTAGAGCGCATTCTGACAAGAAGTGGGTCTACCCTTCAGAGCAGATGTTCTGGAATGCTATGCTAAGAAAAGGGTAAATACACTCTGAGTTACCAGATGGAATATGAGCCTCTGAAACATGAAGTAATATCATTAGTTACTATGGATGAGTATTATTGAAGGGTTTGTAGACTCCTTTAAATTACTATTTTTACACACAGCTTTGTTTTAAAGGGTGAGCTGGTCTTAAAGCCCATGTCTCCTCCAGGGATCAGCAGGATGATGGGGAATGTCAGGCAACTGCCACAACTCAGTGCATAGGCATAGAGAAACTGTCCATGATTGCCAGCTTTCAGACTCAGTCGGCTTCATGCTAATCCCCTAAACCAGTAGTAAAGGTTCTGTGATTGTGAGAACATCTAATTTGACTTTGCAGAGATGCTAAAAGCAGGAAAATGGTTTGACAAGTAGAGGTTTTCAGCCTCTAAAAAAACCTGGTGTAGGCAAGATCTGAATGGTAAATGTCTCCTGTGGTTCGAAAAGCCTCCTGTGCTGCTGTTTCCTCACTCTTTAGTAATTACTTGCTTGACATTCTCAAACAGATCGACTTTAAAGATGGTTATGGTGAAAACAATAGTAATTCTTTGTTCTGCTTATCAGTGTTGTTCTTAAGACAGTATGGCATAAGCAGTCTGCATGGAACACACAAGTTTTAATTCTGTAAGCACTTAAATGTGTTCAGTGTTAGGCCTGTTGAAAAGAAAGCCCACGTGTGGTTAATAGCCAGTGTTGGAGAGATGAAAGGCATTTCTAAGTGTATGCAGAATGTATTGCTACAGGATTTGTGCGCATTAGGAATGCAAGTGGGATTTTTCCAACTCATTTTTACAAATACCATGGATATGCTGATGTTTGCACGCTCTGATAAGTTTCTGATCCAATTAAGCTGTTAATTTATCTACCTAGAATCTGTGGATCTCTATGGTGATAACTTTGATAGTGGTTCTCAAGATGCTTCAGCAGATGAGCCACAAGTTTCCCTACTTGCTTTGTGTCTTTGCATAACACCTCTTGATTCAGAAGCCCTCCAGATACACGGAGGAAGGTGGAGTAGTTATGCTGTAACGTTTGTAAACTGTTCTCAAATTCTTCTCTCTCAGGTGGAGGTGGAAAGATGATGACATAACAGGCGAAGACATGACCAACATTATTAAGATTCACAACCAAAATAACGAGCAAGCCTGGAAGGAGATTCTGAAGTGGGAAGCTCTCCATGCTGTGTATGTGCATAGGGAATGAAAAGCAGATCCTTTGGTTTAGCTCTTGCTCTTATAAATCTTGGAGTGTCTTTAGTTTTTGCTGATATGTCTTAAAAGTTACGGTCTTGTAGGAGCCTGCACTTTGATTAATGTGGAGGAAGATTATCCAGAAGAGCTTAAATGAAACTGAGTAATCATTATGTTGATAAAACTGATGAGCATTTTGGTGGGGTGTGTGTATAATCTGGATTTGGAGAAATTAACTTCTTACTGTATCTATTTGGGAATTTATGTTATGAAAAAGGTATGAGAGGTAAACTTTGATTAAAAGTGACTGGTGTAAACCACTCACTTTTTAGGTCAGGACAGTCCCTGTTCCTAGAAGAGACAGACTAGTTAAGCATTCTGTAGGTAGGAATTGTTCTCTGGAATCCATGATCTTTGTTACACACTAGTTTGGATTATGGTTTTCTGTTCTTTATTAAATCTGTGGATTAGATTTGTTGAGAACTGCTTTGTAGGTAGGTTAGACTGATGGTGTGGAGCATGTTCAAGGTTCTTTATCATACCAGCAGTAAGTGCTGTCAGAAACTGGGCAGCTTGTTAAATCTTAAGGAAAAAAAGAAGGTGGTTTAGATCACTTGTAATTAATTTTTTACCGTTGCTCTTCCTCCTGTTTGTTTTTTCTGTTACTAAACCAGACTACCCTGGTGGTTTATACACTTAAAAAGGTAAAAAAACCACTTTCTTTTTGAACTGTCTGCACAGGGAATGTCCGTGTGGGCCATCACTGATGCGGTTTGGAGGCAAAGCAAAGGAGTATTCACCAAGAGCCAGAATACGTTCATGGATGGGGTACGTGGGCAGGAAGAAGGTCTTCAGTGAGGTGGGAGGGTTGGGAGGTGTGTGTGAAAACCTGCTGTAGAAATAGGATGTTTGAGGAGTGGAACTGCAAGTTCTAATTGCCAGAAGTACTAGTGGGGATCTTATGCCAGCCATCTGGATAAGTGAAACTTCTTAAACAGGGCTTCCACTCCCTCTGCCAGGTTCCTAATGTCCATTAAAGTATCTGCATGGTCCGTTCTCTTGTCTTTCCAGATACGAGCTTCCCTTTGACAGGCATGACTGGATTGTTGACCGGTGTGGAAAGGAAGTGCGATACGTTATTGATTACTACGATGGCGGAGCAGTAGACAAGAACTACCAGTTCACCATCCTGGATGTTCGCCCTGCCTTTGACTCCCTCTCAGCTGTATGGGACAGAATGAAGGTAGCTTGGTGGCGGTGGACTTCCTAACTACTCCTGTGGTGTGTAGCCAAAATGTGAAGCACTCTCCTCTGAGGTTTAAGGATGAGTGAATACTAGGACTTGACGTAGAATTTCAATGCAACTGTTGATATTTTCATCATCACCACTGTTCTCTGGGTGGTGGGAAGGGAGGGGGGGGGAATGCGTTGTTAAGTAGGCTGGTGCTTTGTGGTGGTTTGAAAGAATTAATAAAGTTACAGCAGCAAAAACTTGTATCTTAATTTCCTTAAGAGCTGGGAAAGAAGCTATTCTTACTTCATCACATGGGCTCAGACAGCTTGCTTCGTTTCCTGACCCCAGTGCTGCACCACTTACATTAGCTGCCTGAGTCTGACTGGAGTTCTGAGTGTTAAATAGTGAACACTGGAAATGTCAGAAACGATTTAATGTGGTTCACTATGTGGATACTTAGATGGTGAATAAAGGGACTGTTCCAAACTGCATGGGTTATGAACTATATAAACTCCTTTATTTGTTTTCATGGGGGCACTTTACCAATTCACATACATGCTTCCTCAGAAAACTTCAGCCTGGTTTATTCTGTTAGAAGAAGTACAGTGTGAGTGTTTTTGAAGATATGCTAAACTGAAAAGGAGGATATACTCATGCCTTAAACTGCAATCTATCTTTGAACAAGAGAGCATCTGTTAGAAGCAGAAAGTGTCGGTTACTCTTAGAGGAGATAAAATTAATATTTAATGGCTTTTATTTTGAGTATTTAAGAGGTTTGTTTTCTGATGTAAGGAAACAGTATTCCTAGTATTTTCATGTCTTCAGTGTGTGTCTCGTGTAACACAGGGCAGAATTAAGCCTTATTTAAAGAAACTGTCATGTGGTGCACCTGTATTTTGCATCTTGTCTTCATCAACTGACCCATAGCTTGGGGTTTTTATATACTACAGAATTGCACAAAGGTGTATGACTACATGTTTCTGCACAGTGGTTATAGTGAGGGCTGTTACGGATGTGTGTATAACTTGGCTAAAAGGCTATCAAGTGCCAAGGCACAAGGGTGGTTTGAGTGTTTCCTAAGAGTGGTGCATGTTAATGCTGTGTGGTTTAAAGGTTTCATTCATGTTCATGCTTAATAAGGGAAACTTAACTTTCTTTTAAGTCTTCCACAGTAATAGCTTTAAATTTCAGGTGCCACATGTCCCTAAATTTAAATGATTCCTTCCTTTCAGCATGTATTACTCCTGAGAATGAGTCTTGCATACAAAACACTTGGGAATGGAAGATCTAAGAGAGTTGCACACTGTAGCTTCTCAAATGGGAGAAGCTACATGAAACTTCCCAACCTTAACTGGGAACCAGCTGTACATTCATACTTGGAAAGGGGCTGGTTTTAACTGAGGGGAAAGCTCCTCAATGTTCCCGTCAAGTAACTTGCCAAATTGTTCAGGAAAGCTTCTATACTTTAAGGGTATTGGTTGAGATGAATGATTCCCACTTCAGAAGCAACTGTCCTGCATGATAAGAATAAATACTACCCTGAAGTCCAGAATCCTAAGAGAAAAACACACTTTTAGCCCTGTCCACTCCTTAATTGCTTTTGAGTGATTCATACATATATATATAAAA